ACACCAGCCATCGTATGCCAGCCGTGAAAGCCTTCGACAATACATTGAGTTTTTAATATTTGTCCAGAAATAATCTGAGAGGGGATTAATTCAGTCTGCTGTACCAAGGGTCAAGAGGCCTACCTTGTGACAGAGGGCCTGTCAGCCTTACGAGGTAGACCAGACAGGAAACATGACCAGATGAGCTAATTCTACTTTATTGTAAAGCTACATGAACAGAATCTTGCAAGTCTGAAAATACTTCTCTCCCCATCCCCTTTACAGCCCAAGAAACTAGGGAGGGTCTCTCCTGAGCCTCTTTCTCCACCCACATTCCTGCTGGGGGCTCAGCTTCCTTTTATCTGACTGTTCCCTTGGCTGCGTCTTGTTGCCCTGTCTCCCAAGGTCATTCCCACCTGCCATTACAGTGCCACACACAGAGAAGGGGTAACTGTATTTTGTAGGCTAATGTACCAAATCAAGCTCCTTATGCTCCAGGAATCAGGTCTGTAAAGCAATCAAGTGGATCTTTCGCCTCTAGAACCTGAACTCAAGAAACTAACTCTTACGGATAGCGCGATCCCCTTTCTCTTTGAGGATGCAATTTTTGATTGATAGCCAAACAGTACCATTTGACAAAAGGCCGTTCAGTCCTAATGCAACGATTCTGCTATCATTTCAGCAAGTAAGTTTCCGCAAGCCAGAGTCTTGCGAAAACCTTTCTTATAGAGCAGCGTTTCTCCACCTCGACAACTTTAAGATGCGTGGACTTCAACTCCCAGAATTCCCCAGCCAGCATAGCTGGCTGGGGAATTCTGGGAGTTCAAGTCCACCCATCTTAAAGTTGCCGAGGTGGAGAAACACTGATATAGAGTCACTGTAAGCCTTCTCTACCTCTTTCCACTGATCTACCCAGAATACGACTCGGCTTTCTTTCTTGTGACCGAACTGTAAATTGAGCTGCAGCAGGAATAGCATCGTCCACAGACTCGCAAGAGAAGATCCTTGGGGCATCCATCCGATCGGTGGGAAAGTCTTCCTTTTCGTAAGGAAGGATCCCCGACGTGCACATGGAAGGCAAACTCCCTTCTGGGACTGCTCTGTACCTACTCAAGCTCGGTCACAATCAGAGACTGGAGTGGAGTCATAAATAAGCATTGTGAGCTTAAGTTCCAAAGACAGGATGGAATCAAGCATCATCTTGGATCTCATTCTTAAAACAAAGATGCGCCAGGGGAAAGCTACCGGCAGTTGAACCTCACTGGGACATCTCTGGCTGTAGCGGATTCTTCCTAACGGGAGGTCCTCCAGGTCTGTCACGAACCCCCCACCCACTTCTCCCAAGTTTTGCACTAGCACGGCCGTGCTCCCCTAGGGCCAAATGAGCATACGTGCTTTCTCAACTCCTCCTAGGCCAGCAGGCACAATACTTTGGAAACGCTACGGAAGGGAGCTATATGGCACCTTGCAGGCAGGAAGGACAGATAAAAATCCTTTTTTAAAGAAAGGATTAAAGGAACCGCTTTCGCCTTTAAGCCTTCTTACCATCGCTGCCTTTTTAATGAGAATGAATCTGAAACGATTCTGGCTCAAAGAGTTGCATGATAGGGCACATACTTTCCAAAAAGAAAATCTACATCAAAGATGCTTTTACCAGAAATGATTATTACCGAATCTCCCTGATGAGTGATTTCAGCCTTCTTGATTTCAGTCACGATGGCAATCAATTTGGTTTCAATCTAAGCTACCCCACAAACAAGCCCTGAAGGCCTTTGCTCCGTCCTGCTTTGCTTCCCACCAGTGAGTTTTCAGTGGTATACTGGCCCTTGATATGGAGGCTCCTCTGCACCGTTGTGGGGAAGGATGTTGTTAAGACCTCCCTCCCTGTCATGAAGTTTTCAAAACGCCTTTCCAAACCGTTTACTGCATCCTGTGGCAATGAATTCTGTGTAACAATTCGGAAGCAGGGGACAGGACAGGAGAGGCCCGAAAAGGTCTCCGAGAAGCACGTACCGGAGCTGTAACTGTCCGTCGATGACTGAGAAATGGAACGGGATAGCGAACGGCGGCCGATCTTCGTGGGGCGCTTGTTGAATTCTTGCTTTTGGTCAGCAAACTGGATCTATGAAAAGAGAAACCCAGACTTAGCAAAGGGGGCACGGACAGAAGAATTAAGGTCAAACAGAGAACGGCGCTGTAGTCAGACTCAGCCGCGCTTTCTTCATCCAGAAGCCTTCTCAAGGCACTTAATAGCTTCGCGACTTCCCCTCTATCAGTCCCACCCGATATTAAGGAAATCACAACTATCTTCCAGGTTTGTTTTACCTTTGCTCACTCAGCCACATCCCAATTTAAGAGCTCTGCACTTAAACCACTCTAAACATGGTCAAACGTCTCAGCGTCCCAGAGGGTCTTTGCTTGACACTTGCAACAAACACTGTTGACGGTTTTCTCCCTTCTTGCAAAGGGGAGCTCTCTGACTCAGCAGCCACCCCTCGACCCTGGTGATCTAATTTTGCACACTAACTGCATGACTCCAAAGCCCCTCCAAGATCATGCTGCTGGAGTTCCTCTTAAAAAGCCCTAAATCAGGGTTTTTGCGATCCTGCTAGACATAGGGCATCTATTTCGTTACAGAAAATTCTGCCCCGGCCCCTCTAGGAACATCTCTGCCACGTGTAGTTGATTGAGATGATCAAGAGTCCCATCAACAAACCAAGTTGGGCCTGGGGGGGGGGG